TTCTCTTTTACTGTAGTCATTTGCTATGTTGACTAATATTGTGCTTTAAACTGGGAGTTACCAGTAATGGTTAAATCATCAGCACATGTGGGTGCACTACAGTTAAAATGTTCCAACATGGCCTCCAAAACCGGTATGACATATTTCGTTTAGCAGAATCATTCACATAGACTTTGTATAGGTCGGCGCTAAGTGTACCGCCTTGACGGATTCCTTGTTCAATATTGAATGAGTCAGATTATTCTCCATTCCCGATTTGACACAAGATTTTGCATTTTTATACAGATCATCAATCATTAAGATTTCTGGCAGTGTCAAGATTGTGATAATTTTAATGCCGTAACAGAGTTCTGTAGGATGAAATTTGAAAAAATGCAGGACAGGAGTTTTGAGTAAAAAAAAAGGGCAGGATGACAATTTATTTTTTAAAAAGTCAGGATAAACTAATAAAAAAAAGGCAGGACCGAATAGAGTGAAAAATAAAAAGGCAGGACGGAGATTACAACTAAAAAAATGCAGGACTAAATTTTTCATCCTAGCCCCCCCCCCCCCCCCCCCCCCCCCCCCCCCCCCCCCAAACCACCATTAATCACCTTATTATTGAAAATATTTTTGTCAACCAATGCTCATTGTCTGAATTGATTTAATTCTGGGTTATTACTTCAAAGTTTAAAATAAGTTTTCATTAAGCGGAATATCTGCACTACAATTTTTTATAGCTCTACTATTTTTAATTACATGTAGCTCTACCACGTTTATTATTAAAAAGATTTAAGTATTTAACACTTTATGCTGTTTCGCACATGCTTTATGCTCACATATGTTCAAATATTAAGTATCGCATTATGCTCATAAGCTAAAGATTGTGTTCTCATCTTGCTCACATATTTGAATGCTATTATTAATTAGAATTATGATAAGCATACATGTTCATGGTAATATGCATATGCTCATGCAGTAAATTAAAGTTTGTTTAATACTAAAAAATACTGATTGATCATTTAAGTTAATAATATCTGCATTATAATTGTGTTTCTATTAATTGCACTGTATACTATATTATTGTTGTTGCTTATACCTACGATTAAAATTGATCGTAAGTTATACTGAAATGTGTATGACTTACGAGTATTTTTACTCTTAAGATTTTTTGTGAAAAGAGCCGCAGAGCTTTCCACTCGTCTCTGTTCTGTGCTGTCTTTTCTATCTCGCCCAGCTGATTCCGTGGTCTTTCATTTTAGCTAGCTTCAACTGTTCTTCGCTAAGTTGTCCGGGGCGTCCTTTTATCTTTTCTCCTCTGGTGTCCATCTATGGGCAACTCTGGTCATGTCCTCAGTTGGTCTACGTAGAACATGACCAATCCATCTCCATCATTTTTGCTTCAGTAGAATCTCCATGCTGTTAGATCCTGTTGTTTCGTGGAGGTATTTGTTTGTGATCTTACGTGGCCAGACTATCCTTAAGATCTTTGTGAGGCAGCCGTTGTGAAAACTGGAAAGCTTGTTGGTTTCCTTTTCGGTCATTCTCTAACATTCTGTCCCATATAGCAGCACTGATAGTACTCAACTATCGTATAGTCTAACTATGGTGTTCTTACTGACGTTGCTAGACTTTCAGATGTTACGTAGCTTTAAAAAATGCAGCTCTTGCTTTTCTTAGTCTGCTACATCTTCAGATGTTACTATGCTGCCCTGGTAAGTGAATGATGAAGTGCATTCCAGATGTGTCCCATTTAAATCTATTACAGGAGGCTTTGAGATGTTAAGAGGCATAACCTCTGATTTCTTGATGTTGATGTTTAGTTCAATCATACTTGCATTCTTTTGTAACTTGGTGGTTTTGGCTTGCATGTGTGTTTCTAGATGTGACAGTAAGGCCAGATCATCTGCATAGTCCAGATTTTCTAGATAGTTAAAGAGAGTCCATCTGATGCCTGTGTTGTTATTGATTATGGTTGATTGCATTACCCAATCGATGGCTATTATGAAAAGGGATGACATAACAAAACCTTGTCTTACTCCTGATTTTACAAGAAAACTGGTGTCTGCTGAAGTACCTACAGTGCATCTGAATTCTGTATAAACTTTTGAATAAGTTGTACTATTTTAACTGGTATCCCATAGTTTCGTAAGATCTTCCATAAGTATTTTCTGTTGTTGGTTATAATATCATTCAAATCACTTCTATATGCGCTTTTGAAGATAAAAATAAAAAAATAAGGAGATGAGGTATGATTGCCAATAAGACAACTATCCACCAAAGTTCAAATAAAGTGGATGTAAGCAATTATAGGCAACCATACGGCCTTAACAATGAGAACACTCATACCGTATAGACAGCTATAAAAGGCCCCGACATGAAAAATATGAAACAATTCAATTGAGAAAACTAACGGCCAAATTTATAACAAAGCAATTTACGAAAACAAATATGACAGACATGACCTAACGACAGGCTCCTGACTTGAGACAGGCACATAAAGAATGTGGCGTGCCGGGTTAAACATGTTTGTGAGCGCTCAACCCCCCCCCCCCTAAACCTGGACAGTGGCGTAACAGCACAACATAAGAACAAACTATAAAAATCAGTTGAAAAAGGCTTAACTCATCAGATGGATGCAAATAGAAATACATCTAATAAAAACAAAGAGTGGATGTGGACGGGTATTGATACATCCACACAACAAAAAGACCTCAAGTACAGATCTGAGAGACTCGCAGTTACTGACAGCTAGTTCAAAGCCAATAACAACTAATAAAAAAAAATCATGTATCTAAGACTAAAATATCAATCTGTACACATCCAACATCCAATGGATTTAGTGTAAAGACGTCATTAACAATCAGAGAAAAACATGACTTTGTGCAATGCTAAACTATAGGTATCGACAGATTGTAGCACCGTGAAAGAACATATTTGTAATATTTAGTATGGTTATAATTTACTGATAACAAAATCAATATTAATACCAATAAAAACAATATTCAAAGATTTAATTACAGTGATGAATAAAAAGGTAACCTTTTAGAATAAGTTTACTTGAAGGATTGATAAGTTTACCCGGATCGTATCTAAATTTCCGGTTTATAACATCACCGTAAAATTTACGATGTGCTAAGAAACACATTATGGAAACTGTGATACATATTTAAGTTATTTAAACATGCCTATTATTGCAGAGGTTCCTTCTGGATGTCTTTTGGTTATTTTTTGTCGTTGTGTTGCTGTCTCATTAACCTATAGCTTACAATTCCTTCTATTAATAACAATAACGTTTCAAATTTGGTAAGCTCGGTAAAGTGAGTCCACTGGGATGAAAGGTCGAACATTTAAAATGTCACTTGAAAATGAGGACATGTTGATAGGGACGCAAATTTAACTTCCAAAGATCAAATAATAACATTAAAAGAGTTTTCACAGGGCAACAATGTAGCATTTTCATATCGGTATTATTATCAGTGGCGGATCCAGGGCGTAGAGGCGTACGCCCCCGGCCCCTTTTGATCGTCAAAAAAAATTAAATATTATGTTTTTCACGATGTATATAAATTTTTAGTATAAGATCGTCCAAAATGATACCTTCCATGATCGGCAATTACGCCCCCTTTCAAAAATCCTGAATCCGCCCAGAAGTGTATTCCTGTAATGTATCATCGTTTTTTCCAGTCCATCCGACACCAACAATGTTTGGTAGTTACTTATTTTTTTAAGATAAAGAGATTCGAATTTTCAAAATTTGTAAAAAAAATATTTTGAACCCTAATGCAGGCGTCACACTGTCCCGAAATTGACACCAGATAGCCATACGAATATGGAATTTCGAATTTCGCACGAAGATGGTCCCGAACTTGTTTAACAGCCATTAACAGCCAATCATCATCCGAAGCAAGTACGATGCCTACAGAAAGTCACACGATGGCATACGAACCATACACGAAAGCAACACAAAGATGTGGTTTTTTTTTACGTTGTTAATATACGCAGGACACACGAAGGCAACACGATGACTTTACGATGTCGTATTGATACTAGTAGTACGAAGCGTTCGAACTTGGTCACGAAGGAGTCATGAGACCTCCCGATGGTATAAAACTTTCGGCTGCTCGTGGGATATTTAATTTATTACCTAATTTTTCCTTACTTTACAACTATTTCTATATTAAAGTAATTTTCAGTCAAAATTTCAGAGAAAATGAATGGCCCGATGTTTTTACAATCACATCCGAATTTGAACATTTCCTTTACCGTGTGTCCATCTGGTGTCAATTTCGAGACAGTGTGACGCCTGCATAAAAAAATACAGAAAATTATGCTAATTAGTTTAAAGCGGCATTAGCTACGATTCTGTTTGTTTCAAGTATTAATAAAAGCGAAATAGTGAAATAGCAGACAGTTTGGTTTAATTTTGACATAATTAGCTAAGAAACATCGCTGATGAATTATTCACTTGCAAGTGAATAATTCGACCTAATTGAATCCGTATTCATGTAACCTTGAATTTAGTCCCTTAGAAAGAGATGGGTTACGCATAAACTAGGCGTGTTCAGCTATTAAAAGGAAAAGAATGTCAACATTGAAAGTGAAACAAGGATAAACCAATTGGTTGACTGATTCGATCCACAAAAACTCATTCTTTTACTTAAACTATAACATGAAATCAAACAGACCTAGAAAAATCCAATTGCACGCGCTCCCTATCTATTTATATTTTTATCTATGTTAATATCGGTTTATATGACCGTCGGCAGTCTTCTGCGGTCATCTCGATGGTTAATAGGATGGCGTCTAGACTAGAAAACACACGAAATGCTGATTCATATTATCGAGTCCATTCATTGTTTATTGAATATTTTAGACTTTTTGAAATTTGGATGAACGCTTTAGTATGTTATAAATCAAATATAAAAATTTGAGTCAAATCGCTGAACATGAATTTGACATTTAAAACAAATTGAATGTTATATATATAGCACATGATTATCGATACGATTCGGTAGGCTCAACGTCCTAGATATTAACTTGTATTTACAGAGCTATCCAATAAAAGGTAAATTTAGAATATCTATATGAATATTTATATCTATAGGAAATGCGTGGTTACTTTAGATAAACTAAAATTGCACACTACCTTATACACACATTAACTACACACTGATGTTGTGTTAGATTTCAGATACTTACAACATGTCGGATGGAAGTGAAAAGGTGGTGCCAAAGCAAGAGCTACATACATTTGTGGTTCGAGCAATGGAGGCTGTTGGTCTAAAGTTAGACAGGTGTTCAGTCCTAGCCGATTTGCTGGTATCTGCAGACTATAGAGGGCATTACAGTCATGGATTGAATCGATTAGGTAGCTACACATTTATCTTGTATCAATAATTGGAAGTATACATGTACTTGAAGCGTACCTTTAACTATGTCAGAGATAAATATAATCGAATGAAACTTCCGCCCACATTAAATGCAGGGTACAATGTTTATTATTTAAATCAATCATATCTCTGACATGGAAAAGCACAGATACAGCTAATATCTGAATTTTCCTCAATTCAACTATGATACAAAATGAAATGCATATTTGATCGAAATGATTTTTAGCCAAAAAATATGACATGTATGAGTTCAAATATTAAACAAAAAACCTATTTGATATTCTTCCAAATTCGTTGCGGTTCAAATAAATACTTAAAATATTGATATAGATAAAAATAGAAAATCAATGAAGTATGACAGACATTCGTAGATAAGAATGATCCTGTACGGCTTCTGTCCGTGTATTTGTTAATAATCTAGTTTTATTTTTTATTTTTTTTGGGGGATTGGGGTAAACAATGCCTTTTGTAATTACATTTTTTTTACTCCTCTATAATTCTATAATTCTCCACACTTCAATCTTTCTCATAATAGTCTTAACAACAATCCAGAAAAAAAACAATTCGAGAGTAGCAAATCCAATACATAAGAAGGGATATGAAATTATACTTTTATATTTCTTATCATTCGAAAATTTGTACAGAATTCCAATGCAGAATATATGAAAGAAGCATTTCAAACTCCATAACTAGAAGGTTATGACTACGTACATGTTTTAATGTTACAGATATGTATATGAATGAAATAAAATCTGGAACAGCATCTAAAGAAAATAAAGAACCGGATATTGTAAAAGAATCTGCTGGAACAGCACTAGTGGAGGGAAATAATTTAATTGGTAAGACTTCAATTAGACTCTTAAATACTGACTATGTTATCTGATCTTATCTAATTTGAAGGTCGTTTTGTTAAAAGTCCACATTGTCATTGCTAAAATGGATACACAACTTAACGAAAATGAGGAGCAAGTGCGGAGAACTAATTTTAATTAGATTGGGAATTGCTGTGTCCGTGTGATATGTCTTTGCCCTGTTTTAGAGATGCAAGTGTACTAGTATTTTAGGAGTTCACCATGGATGTTTTTGTGTGGCTTCAACACGGTTTTTTTCCTCTTCATTTTGTAGTCACTTCAAGTCGCATGTCGGGAAATAAGATTTTAATTATGAAGTGTTTCTAGAATGGAAATGAAATGAGAAATGTTGTATACTAACGAAAGACATTTTGTAAATAAAAGAGAGGTGGAAGTTACCAAAGGGATATTCAAACTCACAATTTGAAGACAAACTGACAACGCCGTAGCAAAAAATACGAAAATTATGTTTTGGTCAGTGAAACAAACCACGTGTTTTAAATCATTTGTAGATCACCTGACCACAAGGGTCAATGTGAACTCTTGTCCACTTCATATTAAAAATTCTGAAACATCTAGTCAAAATGAGACCGATAACGACCTGTCTTTGAAAGTCTGTTGATAGTTCATGTATTGCTATCTAGCTCGTGTGTTTGTAAATGTGATAGACAATGAAATCGCTTCGTCGTGCAAAGTAATATTAGCATTACTTAAAACTAAAACTTTCACACGTATAGATTTAAAAAATGGTCAAACCATTTTCTACTTTTTATTTCATACTAAGATATGCTATCAGTTCTTACGAGAATAAAAAGTCTTGTCTTATTTGTCATATCTGTTTTAATGTATAAATAGTTACTGTAGTTTATTCAATACGAATATCATTAGTTTTGTCAGTTTGCTGGCTCCTTTGGTCATTTTTATTAAGTAAGAGAACTTATATGATACACGTTTGATTGACAATACTTTCTTCATCAACAAACAGTAAACTAGAGACAAAAGACAGAGTTTGAATTGGAAATCCTTCTTCTGTCACACCATTCATAGGTGGCTAGACTCAAGCTAGCAGCCACTCGCTAGCAGCCACTCCGCTAGCAGCCAGTTTTCAGATATGTCTATTAACCCAAAAGTTGCATAAGATTCAAACTTACTAAAACGTTTTTATTTTATATAACCACAACAATATCTTTTTAACGTGAATTTAGCAGTCGAAAACATAATTCAATGAATTTTGAAATTTCATTTCCTCTTCAATGTTTTAAAAACAATATTTTGTGCTAGCTTTCAACATCGTGCTGCACGCTTTAAAACTTCAACTGTTTGAATATGGCCAAATTTTCTTGTTTCATTGTATCGACTTTTCCAACAACAAAATTTGGTCGATATTGTGTGAAATAGCTTTCCATATTCTCGGCATCCTGTAAAATAGTTCCTAAAAAGTAACAATATTTCTACGCTACAAGAATTCAAAGTTGCGTTCGTACTTTAATACTTTCATGTCAGCCAAATCTGTTTTAGCTAATCATTCTCTTTCTATAACAATGGGTTTCGCTTAGTTTTGATGATACGCAGGGATTATTTTAAGTAATCAAAGTATGGTGTGCAGGGACATCACTAATTAGCTGTATTACCAATTTTAAAAAAAATCCGTGCTATACCCCACCTGGAAATTTTAGTCAAGCATGCCTAAGGGTCCCAACTTTCATTTGCACCTAGTGTGGAAAAAAGTATTGCCGTAGGAAAATTTTTATTAACTTTGAAAGTTAGGGTAGGGTAGGGTGTCCGACCCCAACTTTGGACCAATTTTAAAAAAAATCCGTGCTATACCCCACCTGGAAATTTTAGTCAAGCATGCCTAAGGGTCCCAACTTTCATTTGCACCTAGTGTGGAAAAAAGTATTGCCGTAGGAAAATTTTTATTAACTTTGAAAGTTAGGGTAGGGTAGGGTGTCCGACCCCAACTTTGGACCAATTTTAAAAAAAATCCGTGCTATACCCCACCTGGAAATTTTAGTCAAGCATGCCTAAGGGTCCCAACTTTCATTTGCACCTAGTGTGGAAAAAAGTATTGCCGTAGGAAAATTTTTATTAACTTTGAAAGTTAGGGTAGGGTAGGGTGTCCGACCCCAACTTTGGACCAATTTTAAAAAAAATCCGTGCTATACCCCACCTGGAAATTTTAGTCAAGCATGCCTAAGGGTCCCAACTTTCATTTGCACCTAGTGTGGAAAAAAGTATTGCCGTAGGAAAATTTTTATTAACTTTGAAAGTTAGGGTAGGGTAGGGTGTCCGACCCCAACTTTGGACCAATTTTAAAAAAAATCCGTGCTATACCCCACCTGGAAATTTTAGTCAAGCATGCCTAAGGGTCCCAACTTTCATTTGCACCTAGTGTGGAAAAAAGTATTGCCGTAGGAAAATTTTTATTAACTTTGAAAGTTAGGGTAGGGTAGGGTGTCCGACCCCAACTTTGGACCAATTTTAAAAAAAATCCGTGCTATACCCCACCTGGAAATTTTAGTCAAGCATGCCTAAGGGTCCCAACTTTCATTTGCACCTAGTGTGGAAAAAAGTATTGCCGTAGGAAAATTTTTATTAACTTTGAAAGTTAGGGTAGGGTAGGGTGTCCGACCCCAACTTTGGACCAATTTTAAAAAAAATCCGTGCTATACCCCACCTGGAAATTTTAGTCAAGCATGCCTAAGGGTCCCAACTTTCATTTGCACCTAGTGTGGAAAAAAGTATTGCCGTAGGAAAATTTTTATTAACTTTGAAAGTTAGGGTAGGGTAGGGTGTCCGACCCCAACTTTGGACCAATTTTAAAAAAAATCCGTGCTATACCCCACCTGGAAATTTTAGTCAAGCATGCCTAAGGGTCCCAACTTTCATTTGCACCTAGTGTGGAAAAAAGTATTGCCGTAGGAAAATTTTTATTAACTTTGAAAGTTAGGGTAGGGTAGGGTGTCCGACCCCAACTTTGGACCAATTTTAAAAAAAATCCGTGCTATACCCCACCTGGAAATTTTAGTCAAGCATGCCTAAGGGTCCCAACTTTCATTTGCACCTAGTGTGGAAAAAAGTATTGCCGTAGGAAAATTTTTATTAACTTTGAAAGTTAGGGTAGGGTAGGGTGTCCGACCCCAACTTTGGACCAATTTTAAAAAAAATCCGTGCTATACCCCACCTGGAAATTTTAGTCAAGCATGCCTAAGGGTCCCAACTTTCATTTGCACCTAGTGTGGAAAAAAGTATTGCCGTAGGAAAATTTTTATTAACTTTGAAAGTTAGGGTAGGGTAGGGTGTCCGACCCCAACTTTGGACCAATTTTAAAAAAAATCCGTGCTATACCCCACCTGGAAATTTTAGTCAAGCATGCCTAAGGGTCCCAACTTTCATTTGCACCTAGTGTGGAAAAAAGTATTGCCGTAGGAAAATTTTTATTAACTTTGAAAGTTAGGGTAGGGTAGGGTGTCCGACCCCAACTTTGGACCAATTTTAAAAAAAATCCGTGCTATACCCCACCTGGAAATTTTAGTCAAGCATGCCTAAGGGTCCCAACTTTCATTTGCACCTAGTGTGGAAAAAAGTATTGCCGTAGGAAAATTTTTATTAACTTTGAAAGTTAGGGTAGGGTAGGGTGTCCGACCCCAACTTTGGACCAATTTTAAAAAAAATCCGTGCTATACCCCACCTGGAAATTTTAGTCAAGCATGCCTAAGGGTCCCAACTTTCATTTGCACCTAGTGTGGAAAAAAGTATTGCCGTAGGAAAATTTTTATTAACTTTGAAAGTTAGGGTAGGGTAGGGTGTCCGACCCCAACTTTGGACCAATTTTAAAAAAAATCCGTGCTATACCCCACCTGGAAATTTTAGTCAAGCATGCCTAAGGGTCCCAACTTTCATTTGCACCTAGTGTGGAAAAAAGTATTGCCGTAGGAAAATTTTTATTAACTTTGAAAGTTAGGGTAGGGTAGGGTGTCCGACCCCAACTTTGGACCAATTTTAAAAAAAATCCGTGCTATACCCCACCTGGAAATTTTAGTCAAGCATGCCTAAGGGTCCCAACTTTCATTTGCACCTAGTGTGGAAAAAAGTATTGCCGTAGGAAAATTTTTATTAACTTTGAAAGTTAGGGTAGGGTAGGGTGTCCGACCCCAACTTTGGACCAATTTTAAAAAAAATCCGTGCTATACCCCACCTGGAAATTTTAGTCAAGCATGCCTAAGGGTCCCAACTTTCATTTGCACCTAGTGTGGAAAAAAGTATTGCCGTAGGAAAATTTTTATTAACTTTGAAAGTTAGGGTAGGGTAGGGTGTCCGACCCCAACTTTGGACCAATTTTAAAAAAAATCCGTGCTATACCCCACCTGGAAATTTTAGTCAAGCATGCCTAAGGGTCCCAACTTTCATTTGCACCTAGTGTGGAAAAAAGTATTGCCGTAGGAAAATTTTTATTAACTTTGAAAGTTAGGGTAGGGTAGGGTGTCCGACCCCAACTTTGGACCAATTTTAAAAAAAATCCGTGCTATACCCCACCTGGAAATTTTAGTCAAGCATGCCTAAGGGTCCCAACTTTCATTTGCACCTAGTGTGGAAAAAAGTATTGCCGTAGGAAAATTTTTATTAACTTTGAAAGTTAGGGTAGGGTAGGGTGTCCGACCCCAACTTTGGACCAATTTTAAAAAAAATCCGTGCTATACCCCACCTGGAAATTTTAGTCAAGCATGCCTAAGGGTCCCAACTTTCATTTGCACCTAGTGTGGAAAAAAGTATTGCCGTAGGAAAATTTTTATTAACTTTGAAAGTTAGGGTAGGGTAGGGTGTCCGACCCCAACTTTGGACCAATTTTAAAAAAAATCCGTGCTATACCCCACCTGGAAATTTTAGTCAAGCATGCCTAAGGGTCCCAACTTTCATTTGCACCTAGTGTGGAAAAAAGTATTGCCGTAGGAAAATTTTTATTAACTTTGAAAGTTAGGGTAGGGTAG